AGTATATTAGCAAAGGTTACGCGAGGCAGCTCTCGGTGGAAGAAGCCAGCATAACCAAACCCACGACGTGGTATTTACCCCATTTTGGTGTGGTGAACGCCCACAAGCCAGAAAAGCTGCGCATCGTATTCGATGTAGCTGCAACAACATCAAACGTGTCACTCAACAGCGTACTACTCAAAGGGCCAGAAAAGGTTCAGTCGCTCATCTCTATACTTTTCAAATTTTGCCAAGGAGTCGTTGCGGTTGCGGGCGACATTGAGGAAATGTGTTCGCAAGTGCGGATCAGAGTCGAAGACCAAGACTCACAACGTTTTTTGTGGAGAGATGGTGACTCCAGCCAATCAATACGCGTTTATGTTGTGACGTCAATGATATTCGGCGCTGCCTGTTCTCCGTGTTGCGCAGAATATGTAAAAAACACAAACGCCAGCAAGTTTAGTTTCCAGCGACCAAAAGGTGTCGATGCCGTTATCAACAAAACATACGTCGATGACCTCGTGATCAGTCTCCAAGACGTCAAAGAGGCCGAAAAAACTATTCGGGAGGCAATTGAAATTAATGCCAAAGCTGGTTTCCTACTACGAAAGTTTGTGTCGAACCACAAATCATTGCAAGCGAGTCTAAATAGTGCGAAGGATATGCAGTTAACAGTTGTCAATATGGAAAGAAGAGCGGCGGCCGACAAGGTACTTGGCATGTTCTGGAACACTGCCTCATATGCTTTCAAGTTTCACTTCAAATTTCTTAAAATACCTGCCGACATTCTGCGGTGTAAACGGCCTCCAACGAAGAGAGAGTTTCTAGGTATCGTAATGTCAATTTACGATCCATTCGGTTTTTTGGCAAACATCACAATTGTTGCGAAATTGTTGATTCAGTCGGCGTGGAAACAGAACATTATGTGGGATGAACAACTGCCGCATACGCTAGACACGCAATGGAAGGCTTGGTGGACAAAATTTCAATATGTGAACTCATTAACTGTACCTCGTTGTTATTCAAGCATGATATCAAGCGCCGAGAACGTCCAGCTGCACATCTTCGTCGATCCTAGTACAGACGCATACGCCGCCGTCGCCTATTTGCGAGTCAG